GCCTTCTGTTTGCTTTCCGTGCGGCGTTCTCTGTCAGGGTGGGCTTTGACGCGAGCGGGAGCCATGGAGCTGAGATCGCTGGTTCCCAATGCGGGCGCGCACGCACACGCGTGAAGATCGTCTCGAGGAAACGCTTCCCAGAGTGTGCTGGCCTTTACTGGTGAATGAACGTTTCCTGGTGGAGTTGGTGCTTTTCAGTATCGTCAGGGAACTTCTGGGCCTTGAGTGAACATCTGTGGAAAAATTCGCCTCCAGCTCCTGAACCACAGAGTTCCCCTTGCGCAGTCCTGGGAGGGCCTGGGGTTAGGAGCTTGGTGTAGCAAACCTGAAGGGAGACAAAGCAGGAAAAATGCACGAGTTCTGTGTCTGATGGTAGCATTGCCTTCAGAGATTGCCAGTGCAGCGGTAAAGATATAGGTGTGCAAACGGAAATGTAGTAGTGTGTTGTGGTTGTGCAGATCGATAACTATTGCATGTTTAGATAAGATTTATAGGGATGGGTAATTGGTTACAAGAGCAGCCAGCTAAGATTTCAGGCATTCACGTCCTTTTTCAGCAGTGAGTTTGATGTTCATGTCCAGGCAGCCCCCATATTAAACTTAAGTTATGGTTTTCATGGGCACTGCAATTTATCATTGCTCGTGTATGTATCCTACTTTGTCTTAAATACTCTGTCATCTCAAGCTGGAACGTGAAGCAGGTCTGATGGACTGAGTTTATTCACTTTGATCTGTTGTGAGTTGGCAAACTGTTAAGGTACACGTGAAGAATTAGGATGATTGTCGCAAAAACAAATGTAAAACTTTGCAGAAGTGAAGTGAGGCCCTGTCTGCCCAGTCCTTTGGAGGTTTCCAGTACTGACATTGTGGCATAGTGATAATTGTTAAGGGAATGCCAGGCCAGGGCTTTTCTTCTCACCATGAGTCCTCCGTGATTAACATGTTGCTGTTCTTCAGGTGAAAGGTAAAATCGAGGACTTGACACTTGTGCTCTTTGAAGATGCTGTGTCAATTTCTGTAGCACAGAATTCTGCTTCTTGTAGACTAGAGAATGTGTGCCTTGCTCTTATGCTTCCCTAAAGCAGTCCCACAGAAGCAGCTGTTTGAAATTAGGTTGGCACTATAGGATAGATCTGGGTTAAGAAGGTCCCACTGGATCTAAAGATTTCACTTTAGAAATAATTAAAATTGCTCAGGAATGCTTTCTGCTTTTCTAAAAGATACAGTTAAGTAAGATTCAACATCAGATTTAAAAAAAAATAATCTATATGAGGTGGTTAACATTGGATAAGCAGCAATCCCCGTTTTAGGACGTGTTTGCTAGATGCTTTTTACTGGATACGGCGTTGCACATTGCCCACCTTAAGTTGTGGCAGGTAACGTGTGTTCCCTCTTCTTGATGAAACTGCTGCTTGCAGGGATTTCTTCTGTCTTGCTCCTGTTGTGTGCAGTTCTTACATTCATAAATATTAGTGGTCGTATTAGCGGGAGGGCTTTCCCAAATCTTCAAAAATCTGAAAAGAGTGTGGAGGGAGTTTCTGCCTTGTAGGTAATTTTATTTTTTGTCGTTCCATCTAGTGACAGTTAGTTTGTTGAAGCCTAAAGCAGAAAATTGGGGTGAAGAATAACAGTGCTAATCGATGATCAACCTGGTAATAAGAAATTTGATTTCAAGGTATTGGGCATTGTCCTCTGGTACAAGGTAGTCGTTCATCTTTTTACTCTGTGTGTGTGTGAGAATATTTTATACAAAAATTACTTGTGATTAAGCATGGGATACTCTTGACTGAGTAATGTTTTTACAAATGCCTGTCAGGTACTTGGGGGTCATTAGTAACTTACTGTGAACTCTGCTGCTTTCATGTGTTGTCAGAAGAAATGGTGAATTCAGATTATCTCTTTGTCTCAACATCGGCATATTAAAAAGGGTTATTGTGCTCTTGTAAATGCAAGAGCATACGTGCTCACCAGAGCTTATAACATTCTGGTGTAGTGCTGTTCTGTATTGTTGATGGCCGAGGTAGAGGCAAGAGGCACCTTTAAAAAAAAAAAAACAACAAACAAACCAAAAAAAACCACCAAAAAATGGGTGGTGATGGAGGGACAGGAAGAATCTGTGCTTGAACTCTTAAGTTCTGAAGTAAGTGAATGGCTGGTGCTGAGGTTTCTCTTACGTTTTCGTAAGAGAATGCTTTAAATTACCACTTTTTTTTTTTTTTCTCAGTTTTGGTCGCTGTGGTAAAAGACAAGGAAGTGTTTCTCACCACAGTGTGAGAAACCACAGAAGATTTCAGTTTCCATTTTTTCCCCCCGTTTATGGTGTAGCTTTCTGTTTAAGATGGAGATAGCTTGCTGTATATTAATGATGTTTATAATGTTAATTTCTAATTTAGATGACATAATTTCTGTCAGTTCTTGGATATGGGAAGAGTTTGTTTATTTTCAACATGCTGCTTCTAGTTATGTGCTTGGTGCTTTTATTTGAGGTATTTATTTGTTTACCTTTTAGCCTGACACTATAAACATGAGTAATTGAGAATTGTGATGAATGAGATCCTGTCTTAACATACCTATCCCCTGGTGCCAGGGGAGGACCTGGTGGTTCCGTGGATAAAGCCAGGGCTCTGCCAGGCTTGTTTGTAACTGCGGATCAAACAGATTTGTCACTTCTGTGACACACTGTAGGTTTGCTCTCAGTAGTCCAGTGAGCTGGGCCACTATCTTAAAGAGCTGTGTGGCGTTTTTAAGTATGTATTCTGCGTATTGATAGCAAATTTTAGAAGGCTGAGCAAAAGTACTCCACAGAAGTGTCGATGGTATACACCTAGGCTGTTGCTTGTGGGATGAAGTGTGGAGGTATGCTAATCACGTGCGAGACTTGACCCGTACGTCCCTTCCACAAAAGGTGCTGTGTATATGTGGAATGGAAGCCACTGGGTACTTTCCGTAATACCAGTTGAATCATGAATTTAACAAGGCTGTGTAACAGCACGGGTACTTTGTTGGATGATGTTTTTCTGTCATACTTACTGTGTTAGAAAGTTCTCACTATATCGTCTGTTGGCCTTCACATGTTAAATGGCACTTTCTGGGGCCATAAATGTAGGAGTGGGAGGATCTGCCCAGCTGACTGTGCAGGAAGCGGGTGTTGAAAGGGCTGGAGTGTTCGTGTGCTTCGGCCTGAGCGTGTCTTGCCCCGGCGTCTCTCTGGGATCCAGCTTCTCGGGGGCAGCGCAGCCGCGCGAGGAGGAAGCGGCAGCCTTGCTGAGCAGCCTGCTGTCCGTTAGGGATCCAGACGGAGTGCAGACAGCTGGGAGCAGCATCCTACTCTGTGCTCCCTCTCAGTTGCTATTTTTAACTGTGTAATATCCAAACGCTGCTAAGCAGTATTTGAGGTATCTTGCCACGATGATGATTATCATTTCAGTCCTTAAAAGCAAACATTATGTTTGCACAGTAGTTTGGGGTACTAGGCAGATGCACTGAGTTGTTCACATCAGGTGGATAATTATGCAAGTAGTTTCTTGAGCTCCATTCTCCTTTAGAGTTGATTTTTCTGTTGCATTTGGTTCT